AGAAAGAAAGAAAGAAAGAAAGAAAGAAAGAAAGAAAGAAAGAAAGAGAGAGAGATTATAATGAGAGTAAGGGAGGTTTGAGGGAAGTCCTGTCCTTAGCACTTGGCCATCACAGGTGCCGCCTGACATGAGTGATGTCGAGCTGGCCACATCCATCTGGGCCAAGTCCACCCTGCCCCTCCCCGAGGTCAATCCCAATCCTGATGTGGCCCTCAATGAAATCGAGTTTGACACCCCCAGTATAGAAGGATGATAATTGCCAGTGAATTTCCCGGCTGATTGGATTCAGATTACCAGTGAATTCAACTTTGTTTCTGACTGGCCTACTGCCCAACTCACCTCTCCGAAGGCAGACCAGCCAAACCACCAAGAACAGGAGCGCAATGATCAGGACCATCCCCAAAATGGAGCCAAGCACAATCCCAGCAATGTCCCCACCAGTCAGATATGAATCTGAAAGGCAGAGGAAGAGAGAGAGAGAGAGAACAGATGTATAAAACCATGTGGAGTTTTAAGCTTTGTTATTTGGGAAGAGCTTCTAAACGTCATAGCCATCGTGCAAGACTGAACCCACCCCAATTCCTGCTTTCTTTTCTTAATTTTGGACCTGGCTGGTCAGACTAGTCAGAGCCACCGTTCTAAGAATCAATTCACTCAAAAATATTCCAGATCCAGGAATCTGTCCGTGTGATGCTTCCTCAAAATCCTAATTCAGGATTCAATCTCAGCAACTTTAAAGATATCTGATCTTCAACACCCAGAATTCCCCAGTCAGCATGTTGACCGGAGAACTCTGGGAATTTAAGTCCACATGTCTTAAAATCAATGGTGGGATGCAAATGTTTTTACTACCAGTTCTGTGGGCGTGGCTTAGTGAGCGTGGTTTGGTGGGCATGGCAGGGGAAGGTTGCTGCAAAATCCCATTCCCACCCCACCCCACTAACCAGCTTTCCAGCTCCGTTCTCCTGCGCAGGGCAATCAAAGGAGACCCAGCCGATCAGCTGGGACTCAATGGGAGGCAGAGAATAGATGGGGGCGGAGTCATTCAGAGGTGGGATTTGTCGGTTCTCCAAACTACTCAAAATTTCTGCTACCGGTTCTCCAGAACTGGTCAGAACCTGCTGAATTCACCACCTCTGCTTAAAGTTATTAAGATTGAGAAACACTGCTAGATTTTCAAAACAGTCTACATTCTATTAAAAGTAGAACTAGCCAGATTTGAATTAATGGGTCAATTTAGGAGGTTGGTTCCTCTAAGACAGGGGTCTGCAATCTTAAATACTCAAAGAGCCATTTGGACCCGTTTCCCACAGAAAAGAAAACACCGGGAGCCTCAAAACCTGGGTGGGCATGGCCTACTCAACATCACTCCCACCCAGTCACATGACTACCACCACCACCATGCCTACCCAGGTTTTGTGGTGGCTTCCGGTGTTTTCTGTGGGAAACCGGTCTCTCTCTCTCTCTCTCCACCCCCCGCATTTGTGTTTTTTTGTGTTTTACCTTCTCAGGCCAGGCGAGGAGTGACTGGGAGGGGAGGGGAGGGCGAGGGGCAGGGCCAGCCAGTGGTGGGATCACCCAATAGGGAGCCACAGCAGAGGGCCCAAAGAGCCGCATGCGGCTCCAGAGTCGCAGGTTGCTAACACCCGCACTAAGAGCTCCTTCTTATCAGATGACTTGGGACATGTTCTATTTCCAAATTTCATGCTAAAAGTTAAGTTAGATTCTGAGTTTTTGAATCCATAGCTAGCTTTTTTTATAAGAGGCCAGAATCCTGGCAAGTTATTTTTTTCTTAAAGATTTTTTGGCAGCATAGAGAAATACAGAACTCCTTCAATCATACTTGAATGATTACCGTAAAAGAGTTTAAAGTACACAGCAAGCATTGTCCTTATACTGAATTGGCTTTATTGAATTTTAGCAACATCATAATGAATCAAAGCTGCGGATTTATTCAATACTTATCAGAGTTTGCTGAGTTTACTAATGTAACCACAGCACCGCAATTGTCATTGCTCTCAATGATGTCATCACATTGAGAAATATATATATATTTCTTTTATATATGCCTGAGATCATACTTGCGAATAGTCTTAGGGAAAAACCAAATGCAGGCAGTCCTTGACTTACGACCACAATTGAGCTCAACATTAATGTTGCTACGTGAGACATTTGGTTTACCCCATTTTATGACCTTCCTTGCTGCCACTGTTGTTAAGTGATTTGCTGCAGTTGTTGAGTTTAGTGACACCGTTGCTAAGTGAACCTGGCTTCTCCTTTGACTTTGCTCGTCAGCAAAGCAGGTCACTAAAGGTTGACCTCATATGACCTCAGGACACTGCAACCATCATAAATATGATTCAGTTGCCAAGCATCTGAACTTTGATGATGTGAGCATCCATCGGCATGCTGCAATGGTCATAAGAGTAAAAAAAACTGTCATAAGTCACTTTTTTTCAGGGCTGTTGGAACTTTGAATGTGCACTAAGCAAGTTGTTGTAAGTCAAAGACTACGTGCACAATGTGAGTCAGGTTTAGGGAAGTATCAGAGATGGTATTCAGCAGGTTCTGACCAGTTCTGGAGAACCGGGAGCGGGAATTATGAGTAGTTCGGAGAACCGGCAAACACCACCTCTGACTGGCCCCGCCAACCCCATCTATTCTCTGCCTCCCATTGAGTCCCAGATGATCATTGGCTGGGTCTTCTTTGGTTGCCCTGCACAGGAGAATGGAGCTGGAAAGCAGGTTAATGGGGTGGGGAGGATATTTGCTGGTTTTCCGAACCACTCAAAATTTCTGCTCCTGGTTCTCTGAACTACTCAAAATTTCCTTTACTGGTTCTCCAGAACTGGTCAGAACCTGCTGAATACCACCTCTGGTTATGGGTGTATTACTTGGAAATCCTGACAGTCTCTCCCAAAAAGCCAAGAAGTTGCTCGTAAATATTATCAGCTTTTCTAGTTTAATGCATATAAGAGTTCCAAGCACATTCTTTTGATTTCATTAATCCAAGTTATTAGCGTTTGTTTGCATATGTGAAGACAGGATAGTATATCATATTGTGGTTCGATAATCTATTCCGGAAACCACCTGGAAACCCTGAGGCTACTAAATCCGAGTACCTACCTGGGTGGAGGGTTTGAATTTGAGTGGCGTTCCCAGCTTGGGATCCCAGATAAGGCACTATTTGGAAAGCATAAGCCGTTTGGGGCTGCAATCCTATAACAGTTGCGGATCGGTTGGTAGCTCCTAGCACTTCCACCGTACTCCATTCCTCAGCAGAACGATGTTGCTTTGGACCTTGCATCTGAATCATGAAACTGGTCACCGCTGACTTGTTTGGGACCGTCCAAGTTAGAGAGGCAGTGCCTGGTTGGGGTCCTTTTGCCAAAGTCCATTCAGAGATTGAGGGGCCTGCCAAAAGAAGCAAACTCACTGTTGTTGTGTTTTTTTCCATAGATATGAAATGCAAGCAATTGCACCTTCCCCAAGTTAAAACCTATCATGTGTCGGCTTACAAATGCATGATGAGAGCACGATGTAATGGCACAAGGGAATGACCTTGGGAGACGGATGAAGAAATATCAGATAAGAGACAGCACAGCCCACAGCTGCATAATGGGAAGAGCAAGAGCTTAGGATCCCCCACCCACCCACCCCCGTAAGTTACTGGACTACAAGGGTGGCGGTGGGAGAACTGTACTTTCAGCCTGGTAAGATTCTGTCAATGCATCTTTTTAGTAAACTAGAATTAGCTTACATTTCCTGTTTGATTTACCCGGGAAGGGCTGGTATCCAGTGCCAACAGTTTGCAAATGTATTCATTAATAACATACTAATGAATGTGTTGGAATCAGGGAGGTCCGAGTTCAAGTTCTCATTAGGTAAGTTTACGCCCTTCTCCAGTCCTCAGTCGCTTTGCAAATGAATTGTGAGGGCAACCCCTTTGTGCTCCATGCTGAGCTTCCCAAAAACAAGGAGAAGACTGGAGAAGACCCCAAACTGGCAACTTTAGTTCTGAATTCATACTCGCTATCATTGCACCCATATGCTACGTCTAATTCTAGACGCCTCGTTTCAAGAATTAAACATCCTGACTATGGTTGTTCTCTCCCACCCCCAAGTATCCCTTCCTATCCTGTAATCCTGCTTTACAATAGAGAGCAGAGAGTTTTATACTAGGGCCTTATCAGGGATGGGATCCAAAAATCCCAGCAACTGGTTCGCTGCCCGGTTGCTGGGTGGGTGTGGCCATGGTGGGTGTGGCCTAACAGAACTTCCAGGGTGGGCTTTTGTGTCTTCCCCAGGGTCCGGAGGCTTCCCTTGGGCCTCTGGGAGGGTGAAAATGGCCTCCCCCGGGCTCCTGAGGCCACCAGAAGCCAGAAACAGCCCTGTTTCCAGACTTCCAGAACTTCCGGTTTGGCCCATTTTTCACCCTCCAGAGCCTCTGGGCATCCTCTGCACTTACCTGTATCCAAAACAGGCCAACGTGGAGACTCCTGGGGGGGGGGAGGGGTAGGCAGGGCCAGCCAGTTGGTTCAACTACCGGTTTGGCAAATCAGATGTAAATTTAACATTCAGTTCACCCGAACTGGTCTGAACTGGTAGAATCCCACCCCCGGGCCTTATTCAAAACCATAGATTTGATGAGAAAGATAGGAACTATAGTTTGACATCAACTAAAGTGATATTCCATATAAGTACAGATAAGTCCACAACTTTGTTCAGCAACCATTCAAAGTTACAACACCCCTAGAAAAAAGGGATGACTGGTCCTCGCACTTATGACCCTCTTAGCATCCCTATGGTCACGTGACCAAAATTCAGACGCTTGGCAAACTGGTGTGTATTTATGACAGTTGCAGCAATCCCTGGGGTTTTGTAACTTTCCCAGCCACCTTTGACAAGCAAAGTCATTGTGGGGAAACAACTGAAAAATGATTCACTTAACCACGGGAGCAATTTGCTTAACAACCGTGGCCAAAAAAAAAATACAGTTGCAAAATCTGGCGCGACTCGCTTAACAACTGCCTTGCTTAGAAATGGAAATTCAGGACTCCATTGTGGTCATAAATCAAACACAATGTGTATTAATATAACCAGAGGTGGCATTCAGCAGGTTCTGACCAGTTCTGGAGAACCGGCAGCGGAAATTTTGAGTAGTTTGGAGAATCGGCCAATACCACATCTGACTGGCCCAGCCAACCCCATCTATTTTCTGTCTACAGAGTCCCAGCTGATCGGCTGGGTCTTCTTTGGTTGCCCTGCACAGGAGAATGGAGCTGGAAAGCAGGTTAGTGGGGTGAGGAGGGAAAGGGGATTTTGCAGTATGCTTCCCCCGCCATGCCCACCAAGCCACGTCCCCAGAACTGGTAGTAGAAATTTTTGAATCCCACCACTGAATATAACTTTTTCTAGTACTGTCTGTCTTCGTGTGGGGGATAACTCACCAATAATAGTGAGGTTAGTTTGTTGTGTTCCCAGTGGATTGGAGCAGACGGTGCTGTAATCTCCCAGATCCTGGGGAGCAGTGAAATTCCAGATGGTGAGATGCATTTTATCAGGACTGAGCCTATAATGGCTTCCGGCAGGAATCAGTGAGCGCTTATCTCTAAACCATTCAATTTCCACAGGATTGAAGGTGCCCTGGCAACGCAGATGCACAGTCACTCCCCCTTTGGGGTCACTGGATGCCTGGAATGACAATGTAACCCCTGAGGGGGCTTCTGGAGAAAAGGAAGAGAAAGACACAGATGAAAAAGACATGGTCTCAACGTCTGAATTGTGACACCGTTGTGAGTTAAACGTTGTATCTGCACCTAGCAGGCTAGATCAAATCCGAAGAGCAGGACTGGGGTGTTTGTTTTGTTTTATGGAATGGTTCGTTTCAAGGGATTTTCTGTTTTACGATTGTCCCTTGCCTCTTTTGCCTTTATTTTCTTCCAAGGGTTTTCAGGCCAACAAATGTGAGGATTTGTCCCTTCATAACCACAACTTTTTGAATTAGATCAGGATGAAGGACTAATTACTTCAGATGCATGGGGGATCACACCTCTAATTTCCTCAGATCAGGGGCTTGTCTATCTATCTATCTATCTATCTATCTATCTATCTATCTATCTATCTATCATCTACCTACCTACCTACCTACCTACCTACCTATCATTCATTCATTCATTCATTCATTCATTCATTCATTATCTATCCATCTGTCTATCCATCCATGGTGGCACAGAAGCTAGAATGCAGTTTTCCAGGCTAATTGTACAAACTGCCAGCAGTTCAATTCTGACTGGCTCAAGGATGACTCAGCCTTCCATCATTCCAAGACGGGTAAAATGAGACCCCGGTTTGTTGGGGGACAAGAGGCTGACTCTGTAAAACTGCTTAGAGGAGGCTGTAAAGCATTATGAAGTGATATCTAAGTCTAACTGCTATTGCTATAAAATATATTGGCTGCCCATCTTACCACATAAGGTAACTCTGGGAGGTTTTATAGTCATATAAAAATATTACATTAAAACATAAATTAAAACCAAAGATTTTAAAATCTAAGGATGCGTGAGGAGAGTGGAGACAGATTGGGGGAAGGTGAGATCTGTTGTGACTTGATCAACCACCTCCATTGTGCTGTTCCCACATTGGAGCCAGGCCAACCAGTAGAGCCATGTCCTTAGCAGAGGTGGCATTCAGCAGGTCCTGACCAGTTCTAGAGAACCAGAAAAGGAAAATTTGAGTAATTTGGAGAACCGGCAAATACCACCTCTGAACTGGCCCCGCCCTCATCTATTCCCTGTGTCCCATTGAGTCCCAGCTGATCGGCTGGGTCTCCTTTGGTTGCCCTGCACAGGAAAACGGAGCCACACCCACAGAACTGGTAGTAAAAACATTTGAATCCCACCACTGGTCTTTAGGCCCTTATGAAAGGATAGGAAGGTTGGAGCCCAACCTCACAATGGTAGATTCAAATGGATTGTTCTCTAAGTGCCTTTTAAGACCCTGAGAAAACATCATGGGTGTTATGTGAATTTTGTTGTATGTGTATACTGTGTATATACATACAATGACAATAAATTATTATTATTATTATTATTAGTAGTAGTAGTAGTATTCCAATCCCACCACCCAGTTTTCTGAACTACTCAACTGCTAGTCATTTTTTTTTTACTACTGGTTCTCTGGGCGTGGCTTGGTGGGCGTGGCAGTGGAAGGATACAACAAAATCTCCATTCCATCCCCACTCCTGAGGGAAAGTTACAGCAAAATCCCATTCCCTCCTCACCCCACTAACCTGCTTTCCAGCTCCGTTCTCCTGTGCAGAGCAACCAAAGAAGACCCAGCCAATCAGCTGGGACTCAGTGGGAGGCAGAGAAGTGATGGGGGCGGGGCCAGTCAGAGGTGGTATTTCCCGGTTCTCCGAACTACTCAAAATTTCCGCTACCAGTTCTGCAGAACTGGTCAGAACCTGCTGAATACACCACCTCTGCCACCACCCAGATACAGCCAGCAGCCATTTTAGACAGGAATACATCAGCTCAGCTGTTTTCTTCAGCTCACCTGGAATCAAGGTGCAGTTGGCTTGCCCAGTTACATGATGACCCAAACAAGTAACTTTGGAACCACTGATCCCAGCAGGGAAGGGGGGGACCAGCAAGCTCTGTAATTTAGAGGCACCGATTTCCTCCTCGTCTCCAGGGAGTCCCTGGAAAGTGAGATTAGGAGCAGGCCACCCTCCAGTCCAGGAGCAGACAAAAAGTAAGGCAGAATCATTTTGCACCGAAGTCACAGAACAATCAGGCGATCCCCAAGGAGCTTCTAGAGAGGAGTATCAAAAAAAGAGAAGAGGATGAGTATTCATGCATGTACTTTTCTGGACTTTTCTGGACTTAACATTGGATTACTCATATCAAATGACATATCAAGCGCCAGAGCTCACTGTAACAACATTGCCAAAAAGGCATTAAGAGTTGTAAACCTAATCTTACGAAGCTTCTCCTCCAGCAATATTGAATTTCTAACTAAGGCATACAAAACCTTTGCTAGACCAATACTTGAATACAGCTCCTCATTCTGAATCCACACTGTATATCAGACATTAATACAATTGAGCAAGTCCAGAAGTATTTCACGAGAAGAGTTAACTACACTCCTCTGCTCGCAACAGAATACCTTATATCACCAGGCTTGAAATTTTGGGCTTGGACAACCTAGAACTAGGCAGTCTATGGTTGGACTTAAGCATAGAACACAAAATTATCTGCTACAATGTCCTACCAGTCAATGACTACTTCAGCTTCAACCACAACAATACAAGAGCACACAACAGATACAAACTCAATGTAAACTGCTCCAAACTTGATTACAGAAAGTACAAACTTCAGCAATAGAGTGGTCAATGCCTGGAATGCACTACCTGACTCTGTTGTTACATCCTCAAACCCCCCACTCCTTTAACCTCAAACTATCCACTGTTGACTTCACCCAATTCCTATAAGTGCACCATTGTGCCTACCGTCCCTGTCCTATTGTTCCCATTTGTTCGTACCTATTTCTTGTGTTCTTACTCATGTTTATACTTATACCTATTACCTTGTAAGCAATTGACAAATCAAATAAAATCAATCAATCAATGAAATAAATTAGAAAAAAAAGAGGCAAAGTATGCAGGCAAAATGCTTGATATACTTGTACGAACCACTCCTGTCATGTCAAGCACCAGGCGTGGCATGACTGAAGGAAAAGGCTGCGAGCAATTCCTAGGAAGACCACTTAATTTTTCCAAAATGCCGGCAGGATGGACTCTGCCTGGCTGTATAATATTTGGGGGCTGCTGCCTAACCTGCTGTAATCTCTTTGCTATAAAGCAGCCTTCTCTAAATTGGATTGAGGAATGAAGGCAAAGATTGTGAGTTTGAACCATTGTGGAGGCGAGGTCCAATCGCTGGGTATTTAGTAATGGAAGGAAAAGAAGAAAAAAAAATCTGATTTACAGAGGATTGTGGGAATAATCTAGACCAGGGGTGTCAAACTCAATTTCATTGAGGGCCGCATCAGGGTTGTGTTTGACCTCGGGGGGGGGGGGGGGCAGGCACGACCAGGATGGGCGTGGCCAGCATGATGTCACTCATGTTGGGGCAGTGCCTGTGGTGGCCCCAAGCTTCATTTTCGGCTAGGCTACTCCTGCACTGTTTCCACGACTGCCCTGTGGGCCAGATCCGGCCCCTCTGGGCCTTGAGTTTGACACCCCTGATCTAGATTATTGTGCAGGTATCTACCTTCCAGGTATCTTCTCCTCATCCATATTTTGAGAATCTCCTCCACTTACACTCCCCCCAAGGCAAAAGCAGAATGACCCTCCATGTTCTTTAATCCGAGGAAGGGGTCCCAGAAGTGGGGGAAATGTTTTAGCAACATCGCTAAAGAAGCTAATGACTTCTAATTACTTCAACCAGAGTTTCCTTTTTGGGGAAGGGGGAGGGAGGGGAAGGCGGGGCATCTCCACTGCCCCTTAAAACAGCCAAAAACATGACCACAGCATATCCTGTCTCACGACGTGTATGCAAGTACAGATATATGCATCTGTTGGAACTGTGGTAAACAACCTGCCCTATGAGCTATTTTTCTCTTGGTGCTCTCCATCTCTCTTTCTTTTCTATGGACCACAAACATGCCTTACTTTCAAAAAACAATTCCAATAATTGATTAGAGGGGTGGGCTCTATTAGGAATCTGCAAGTCAGACCACCCATGCTAGGTTCCAAGGTGGAGTGAAGCAGTGGTGGGATTCAAATTTTTTTTTATTACCGGCTCTGTAGGCATAGCTTGGTGGGTGTGGCATAGCGTGGTGGGTGTGGCTTGGTGGGTGGGGCTTGGTGGGCGTGGCAGGGGAAGGATATACTGCAAAATCCCCCTTCCCTCCCCACCCCACTAACCTGCTTTCCAGCTCCGTTCTCTTGTGCAGGGCAACCAATGAAGACCCAGCCGATCAGCTGGGACTTGGGAGGCAGAGAATAGATGGGGGCGGGGACAGTCAGAGGTGGTATTCCAAACTACTCAAAATTTCCGCTACCGGTTCTCCGAACTACTCAAAATTTCCACTACTGGTTCTCCAGAACTGGTCAGAACCTGCTGAAGACCACCTCCGGAGTGAAGGTTTTGGTGTTCCAAGACAAAAGACGGAGCGAGACGCAAAAACTAAGTTACTTTGGCTGGAATTCTTCACCATCTCAAGTGCAGATTGAGATGAACAGCTCAGCTGGTTCATTCCTTGAAACTCCCAACTTTCTTTCCTGTAACTCAATCGCCACTTAACTTTTATCCTCCCGAAACTCACTGTTCCTCACAGTCAGCATTTCTAATATTTCCTACCAGTCCAACCAACTCAACGTCTTCCAGAAAAGTGCAGGGGCATTCTTCTTAACAATGCACCGCATTTATGTTTCTAAAGCACATCTGCAATCACCCCAATTCAGAACCCATTTCAGGGTGGCAATTTATATGAGCGTCATTCTGAGTTCTGGGCTAACTTTCCTGTTCCAATGGCAGCAGTATAATGCAACTCTGTTGGATCAGGAGAAAAACCCATTAAAGCAGTCACATTGAATAGGGATCAACCCAGTTTGCAATGCTGGGCTTAATTTCCACAGGTCTTTGCTAACAGCCAACTTGGTCCTTGATTTTTTTTCTCATCTGGCTGACCATAGGGTGGAGAGAGGAAGTAAAGATGGCAGAGAGAGAAAAGTAAACAATTTTATCTCTTGTTTCTTTGATTCCAGGCAAGCTTCCTCCTTAGTCATAACTAGTAAGATTAGTAATTCAATAGATTATTTGATATACAGCTTCCAACCTGAAACAGGTTCTCTACTCCTGTTATATAGGAGGAGCAAGCTGCATTTTGGATTTCGAGGGTGTGTTTGCGTGTAGTAGTCTTGTAAAAATCTTGTAACTTGGGGTATGATATAAGGTAACATCTGTAACCCTCTTCTCCAAGAGCTTAAAGCAGAGGTGCCCAAACTTGGTGACTTTAAGACTTGTGGACTTCAACTCCCAGAATTCTCCAGCCGGCTGGCTGGGGAATTCTGGGAATTGAAGTCCACAAGTCTTAAAGTTGCCAAGTTTGGGGACCTCTGGCTTGAAGGATGGTAGATTTATACATACAATCCTGAAAGCTCTTCAAGGCATTCTGGGAACTAGACTTTCTCAATTGGCCCCTTTACTACATCACAAAATCCTCTGAGTTTTTAAAGGAAGTGCTGCCATTGAAAATACACTGTATCTTCTCCTTTTCCTCCCCTTCCCTCTCTTCTTCCTTCTTCCAGTTCTACTCAATTCGATGAAGGAAAGGACCAGGGGACACATGATAGCAAGTGTTCCAATATTTGAGGGGCTGCCACAGAGAACAGGGGGGTCAAGCTATTTTCCAAGGCAACTGAAGGCCACATACGGAATAATGGATGGAAACTGAACAAGGAGAGATTTAACCTGGAAATAAGGAGAAACTTTCTGACAGTGAGAACAATCAACCCATGGAATAGAAGTTGCCTTCAGAAGGTGTGGGAGCTTCATCACTGGAAGCTTTCAAGAAGAGATTGGACTGCCATCTGTCAGAAATGGTGTAGGGTCTCCTGTTGGGGAGGGGGGAGTTGGATTGCATGACCTACAAGGTCCCTTCCAACTCTGTTAATTTGTAACTTTGTTACCGGAATTCTGTCAAAGAACAGAACTTTGGAGCTCTTTTCATATCGAGAGGATAGTGTTCCTCTCCAACTCACCACGGCCAACTCATTGCAGGACAAAAGTTATACTAATATCAAAGAAATGGGGGAGTACACTCATTAAAGAAATGATTCCAAAGGAGGAGCAGAATGAAATGTGAGTGGCTAAAGTTAAAATCTTTTTTATTTTATTTTAAATAATTAAATAGAATTGTTCAACTATCCTGCAGTAAGTTGTCCCAGGATGAGTTGGCCAGGGTGAGTTGTCTCATTCCCGATGGCAGAGGAGTGGGGGGTGGGGGGGGGTGAGAGACAGAAAGAGGGAGGGAGAATGTACATATTTATGTTCCTGCATTATGCAACCATCTCTTTAGTGGCCTGTACCTTCCTTGGTGACCATTTATCCCAAGAGAAGAGAAAGGAATATTTTCCATGGCCAGAGGTGGTATTCAGCAGGTTCTGACCAGTTCTGCAGAACCTGTAGCGGAAAGTTTGAGTAGTTCGGAGAACCGGCAAATATCGCCTCTGACTGGCCCCGCCCCCCTCTATTCTCCGCCTCCTGAGTCCCGTCTGATTGGCTGGGTCTTCTTTGGTTGCCCTGCACAAGAGAACGGAGCTGGAAAGCAGGTTAGTGGGGTGGGGAGGGAATGGGGATTTTGCAGTATCCTTCCCCTCCCACGCCACCAAGTCACACCCAACAAGCCACACCATACCCCCCAAGCCACAGAACCGGTAGTAAAAAACATTTGAATCCTACCACTGCCCCATGTGCTCATGTCTTCCAGACGCAAACACCCTACTCCCAGTAGGGAAGAAAGATAAAGGCAAAGCTAACTAACGGACGACGTTGATACGGCGGGAATTACGAAAGCGTAGCTCCGTCTTCTGATTGATAGCCAGGCAGGAATACACCCCTCCCTGATTCAGCTGCACTCTGCGGAGCTGCAGAACAGGTGAGGAAGGGACGTCACGGTCCATATTGTCAGCCACATTCCAGTAGATCTTTGCTGGGGGGTTGGAGGGTGCCAGACATGTGAGGTTGACCGTGCTGTTCACCAGCACAAAACTCCCTGCACTTGAATCCTCCTGAGAGGACGAGACGGTAATTGTTGGGGTCTCGGGACCATCTGGGTGAAATCAAAAGAATATTAACTGTAATCGCGCAATAACTGTTTGTTTAGATACAGCCTATCGGGCTCATCTGTAGGGCCCTGGTTTTATCTTTCTGGCATTAGTTACCCCAGTGTGGTTCAGACAGGAAAAAACAACCAGATGACCAAATTCTTACTTTATGAATTCTACTTTCAGTCTCCCAAAATGTGATTTTTTTTCAAAAGGTAATTGGACTTTCTTTGTTTTTGCCTGAAGACATTTTAGCTTCTCATCCAAGAAGCTTCTTCTGTTCTAGGGTAAGGTTACACTAACGGAACTTTGCAAGTCTGAATAATTATCCTCCCATATCTTTTGCCCCTGAGAAATTAGGAAGGATTTCTTTTGATCTATGCCCCACCTACTATGTAGCCTTGGACTGTGCTGCCTCTTATCTGACCATTCCCTAGGCGGCAATCTCTTCTTCCCTACTCCCAAGGTCATTCTCACATACCATTACACCAGAGATGGTATTCAGCAGGTTCTGACCAGTTCTGGAGAATCAGTAGTGGAAATTTTGAGTAGTTTGGAATGCCACCTCCGATTGACCCCACCCCCATCTATTTTCTCTCTCCCGAGTCCCAGCTGATTGGCTGGGTCTTCTTTGATTGCCCTGCACAGGAGAACGGAGCTGGAAAGCAGGTTAGTGGGGTGGGGAGAAAATGGATATTTTACAGTATCCTTCCCCTGCCACGCCCACCAAGCCACGCCCACCAAGCCACACCACACCCACCAAGCCACACCCACAGAACCAGTAGTAAAGATCCCACCACTGCATTACACCCAGGCTATGGCATTATTGATGGATGGAGCAATTTAATTTGATGTAGTAACTATTTATTCATAGAAAAGGAGCCATATCTTCTGTGTTTTTGGCCACTCCCTGTGATACACAAAGTGTAGATTGCAAGGCTTGAAATATCTGTTCTGGTTTGCATTTGGGTTGAACTTCCTTTTTCCCAAAACATTCAAAGATAGGAGATGCCAACTTCAGGGACAGATAAAGTTGTTCCGTCCAATCCTTTGCATGGCAAGTAGCAATGGAACGTCAAGAAAAAAACTTTTTAAGGGTAAATTTGTGCAACAGTGAGATTTTTTTTAAAAAACCTGAAGTTCAGCTCCCATTCATGAAATTTGTCCAAGCACGGCCATCAGCCAAGGAATTATAGTCACTGGCTTAAATGGTCCATTTAACTTTACAATTCTACAGCTCTATAAAACAGAACATGTAAAACTGGTTACGTCAAGGGTGTACTCACAATAGACGGTCAGGTTGGCAGTGCCACTGGCATTGCCAAAGGGGTTGGAGATGGTACAAGTGTAGACACCAGCATCAGTCCGTAGAGGGTCTCTAATTTGCAGGTAGCCAGATGAACGCAAATAACGGGGATTATCACCCAGGCGGTGACCATCCTTGGTCCAGGAGACAAAACCATGGACGGGAGTGCAGTTGAAAGCCACTAAACCGTTTCCTTCTATCACTTCTGCAGATGGTGGGACCACAGAGATGTTGCCCACTTCCTCTAAGGAAACACACAGGTATGAGCGATCTATTGCATTTTGCAAAGAAAAACAACAACAACAACAAGGCAAGGTCTCTCAAAAAATGTCCTTCAAGTTAATGAAGTGACCTGCTTCTATGGAAGTAGATTAACAGATAATCAGAGTTGGAAGGGATCTTGTAGGTCATCTAGTCCAACCCCCTGCCCAAGCAGGAGACCCTACACCATTTCTGACAGATGGGAGTCCAATCTCTTCTGGAAAGTTTCAAGTGGTGGCATTCCCACAACTTCCGAGGGCAACTTCTGTTCCATTGGTTGATTATTCTCACTGTCAGAAAGTTTCTCCTTATTTCCAGGTTGAATCTCTCCTTGCTCAGTTTCCATCCATTATTCATTGTCTGGCCTACAGGCACTTTAGAAAATAGCTTAGCCCCCCTCCCTCTCTGTGGCAGCCCCTCAAATATTGGAAGACTGCTATGATGTCTCCCCTGGTCCTTCTCTTCACTAGACTAGCCAAGCCCACTTCCTGTAACCATTCTCCATATATTTTAGTCTCCAGTCCCCTAATCATCCTGGTTGCTCTTCTCTGTACTTCTTCTAGAGTCTGAACATCTTTTTTATAGTGTGGTGACCAAAACTGGATGCAGTACTCTAGGTGTGGTTTTCCTAAGGCTTTATAGAGTGGTATTAGCACCTCCCTTGATCTCGATTGTATCCCTCTGTTAATGCAACTTAGGACTGCATTGGCTTTTTGGGCTGCTGCTGCACACTGCTGGCTCCTATTTATCTGGTTGTCCACTAAGACTGCAAGATCCCTCTCACAGTTACTGCTATTGAGCCTGGTTTCACCCAGTCTATATGTGTCCTTTTGGTTTTTCTTGCCTAAGTGTAGGACTTTACTTTTTCTACATGGAATTTCGTTTTGTTAGATGCAGCCCAGTGTCCTATCTGTCAAGATCCATCTTGACAATAAGATCTTTCTTGCATGTCTCTCGTGCGACAAAAGTCAACACTAGGGCAAGCAGCAAACCATAATGGCTAGAACCTAGGAGGAGCGTTCCCACAGGAGAAGGAGATTAAGGTTAAAATGGGATAAAGTAATTTGTGATCGCTGTGGGATTCCAGAATTATCTTGGCATATTTGTGAACCTGGGTCATCATATCATATCCTGGATTAGTGCATTTGTTTGGATGTAGCATGTGATGCTACATGGACACACAAATGTGTTTTATTAACCAGGACTATGTTTTGGCACATGACTGGGGAGAAGAATATGGACTTCAAAATACAGCTGACTTACAGCTCCCCAAATCTATGACTATTGGTGTGCCAACCCACAGCTGTTGGGAACTGAAGTTCAACACTAACAATTATTGGCTCCCAAATTTGGACAGACCAAACATGAAAAAGAGAGGATAAATAAATCAGAAAAGTTGGCTTCCGAGGTCAGGAATTCCCTTTTTAATAGGGCTGTTGAGATATTAGTGGCATCAAAGAAAACATCTTCACCGCAATCGTATTAAACCTTGGTCTAACTCACCATAAACTTGAATAGTGATGTTTCCCTTCTGGACGACACCCCCCAGAGGGAAGATCTCCACTGAATAGATGCCGGAATCCATGGTCCTCAGGTCAGAAATATTGAGGTTGCCATGCACGGGGTCCACACTGAACTGAGACTGGAAACTGGGATCTACCTTCACTGTAAAATTAGGGCGCAGGTTTCCTGTTGCCAGGATGGTTGCATTCCTTCTCCAGATGATAGTAATTTGGACTTGAGCGGAGGGTAAAGAGAATGGAATGGGGAGAGAAACAGAATTCCCAACAAGCACAGCCAGAGGGAAGGAAGATAGAACAGGGAATAATGAGGCTGAAAAGAGAGAAAACAAGTAAGCAGTCAATATAATTTTCTCTGCTATCAATGGAAACATGAATCATTGCAATGGATGGAGTGACCTTATCTGGGCTGCAAAAATCTTCATGACCACTTGAGGGCAGCAAAGAGTTTTCTGTAGCCCTTGGTTGACTGTAAGTGTTTAAAGTTGTGGCGGTGCAGTGGTTAGAATGCAATATTGCAGGCAAACTCAGCTCACTGTCTGGACTCTGAAGTACCATCTGGCTCAAAGTTGATGCAACCTTCCATCCATCCCAGGTCGGTAAAATGAGGACCCAGATTGTTGGGGGCAATATGCTGAATCTGTAAACCACTTAGAGAGGGCTGTAAAAGCACAGATATATATATATATATATATATATATATATATATATATATATATATATGTGTGTTTTCTGAGGTTCTCGCGGGTATTTATATGTAGATCTTTGGTTGTTCGGGTTTTCTCCCGCGTAAGATTTGAAGTATCTAGGCAACGTTTCGATGAAGTCTCATTCATCATCTTCAGGCTTCTGTCTCCAGCTCTGTGCTTCTCAGAGTAATGGAGATTGCAGCTGCTTCCTCCTTTTAACTGCCAGTGGGGGTGGAACTTGATTGGGTGGGGGCTTGGCTGTGTTCCTACCACCTACCTAGAAAAAACTACCAAATCCAAAATAAAAGCCTCCCCCATCAGTGAAGAAATCCAGCAAGGAATCATACCCAGAGAAAAATCATCCAGATGCCCCAAGCTTTATGGTCTCCCCAAAATACACAAAGAAGGAACCCCACTCAGACCAATAGTCAGCTCCATAGGCTCACCTCTACAAAACCTGGCCAAATTTCTTGCCAAACAACTACAACCCTATGCAGAATCCATCAACTCACACGTAAGAAACTCATTCCAGTTCATCGAGATCATAAAGAAACAAAACTTACAACCTAGCGACCTACTAGTAAGCTTCGATGTCACATCCCTCTTCACCCAAGTGCCAATAAAAGAAGCCTTGACAGCCATCCAAAACAAATACAACCCCCCCAAGCACATCCTAGATCTAACCAACCACTGCCTATCCAATACTTACTTCACCTACAATGGACAAAAATACAAACAAATAGAAGGAGCACCTATGGGATCACCCCTCTCACCTGTCATCGCAAACCTCTACATGGAACACTTTGAAACACAAGCTCTAGAAAAATACGACCACAAACCCAAACTCTGGCTCAGATACGTAGATGACACCTTCATAATCTGGCCACACGGGAAAGAAAAACTGAACAACTTCCTCACATACCTCAACAGTCTACACCCCAAAATACAATTCACCATGGAAACAGAAGCCAACAATCAACTTCCCTTCCTAGATGTCTTGGTATACAAAAGATCC